GTAGGACTTGTGGTAGCCAGGTAACTTGTAAGATTTGTGGTAGCCAGATGACTTGTAGTCAAACATCAGAGAAAATGTGTACACTAATATTACTAGGGGTAGCTAGAAAATTATTCCTTTTGTATGCCTTCACTCAGGGCATCATTTCTTTTAAAAATGGTGTTACATGAGAATGAGAGTGTTTCACTTTATTTATTCTACTGTACCAACGTGGAGACAACAACTTGTATACAAGGTAAAGTGACGAAAACCAGATGTATTCGTCTGGTTTGTTTATATTACGTGTGGGTGGGGTGAGGTAGGGTGGGGTGGGGAGGGCTGCCTGCACTTCTTGGCTACCCATACTTCCCATCCTGACTTCCTATAAATAAAACTCACTTCTCACCCTACATTAAGACTACAAATATTTTAAGGTAATTAATGAGTGTACTATGTATGCATTTTATCGCTCTAGGGAGCTTATTGTCATAGTAGGTGGGAGTGGCCAGGCAGGATGCCATACCTCCCACACAACTTTCTACAAATAAATACTTTTCACCTCTCACCCTACATTAAGACTACAAATATTTTAAGGTAAGTAATGAGCACTGTATATGCATTTTATCGCTCTAGGGAGCTTTAAGCATTGTAGTATAGTATGTGTGGGTGGGGTGGCCAGGAGGGCTACCACACCTCACTTCTTACAGTAAATACTACTCACCCTTTGCCCTACATTAAGACTACAAATAATACAAGTATTTTGAGGTACATAATGAGTGTACTGTGTGTGTATTTTACTTTTTAATGCCTAGTTCTATTGTTAACTTAATATATGCTAGTGTAAACTTGTTTTCTGGCATTTATATGCAGTTATAAATGGAAAAAATGGAGTTCTGCTTTCCAGCAAAGTCTGCTTTCCGGCAGTAGCCTGGAACCTAACCTGCCGTATAAGTGGGGCCCTACTGTACATATAAAATATGCAATAACTTTATGACACAAGAAATTTTTGAAAGTTTCCAGAGAATGTAAACAAACCAGCACTCCATATTAGAAAGACAGGGAGCTGTACAGCAAGTTTTGGTCATAATTAGCGGAACGCCATAAGGCAAAACACCATAAAGCGGGGCCCTACTGTATTTAGGAGTGGATGTGTCACCACATGGGTCTATGAAAGAGGATGTGAATCATAGAAGTGATGAAAGGAAAAAAGTGAGTGGTGCTCTTAGGAGTCTGTGGAGACAAAGAACTTTGTCCATGGAAGCAAAGAGGGGAATGTATGAGAATATAGTTATACCAACACTCTTATATGGGTGTGAAACATGTATGGTGAATGTTGCAATAAGAAGGCTGGAGAAAGTGGAGATGTCATGTCTGAGGGCAATATGTGGTATGAATATAATGCAGAGAATTCATAGTTTGGTAATTAGGAGGAGGTGCGAGATTACCAAAAGTATTATCCAGATGGCTGAGGAGGGGTTGTTGAGGTGGTTTGGACGTATAGAGAGGATGGAATGAAATAGAATGACTTCGTGTATAAATTTGCAGTGGAGTAGAGGTGGGGTAGGGGTTGGCCTAGGAAAGGTTGGAGGGAGGGTGTAAAGAAGGTTTTGTGTGCGAGGGGCTTGGACTTCCAGCAAGCATACATGACCGTGTTAAATAGGAGCGAATGGAGACAAATTGTTTTTAGGACCTGACGTGCTGTTGGAGTGTGAAAAAGGTGACATTTTCGAAAGGATTCAGTTAAACCGGCAGGCTGGAGTTGAGTCCTGGAGATGGGAAATACAGTGCCTGCACTCTGAAGGAGGGGTGTTAACCCTTTGAGGGTCGACAGGCCCTCTCCGAAACTCGTTCTCAGGGTCGGCCAAATTTAAAAAAAAAAAAAATTATTTTCTCTTATGAAATGATAGAGAATCTTTTCCCGATGATAAAGACACCAAAAGTTTGAAATTTGATAAAAAACTTACGGAATTATGCTCTCGCAAAGTTAGCGATCTCGGCGATGTTTACGTATCAGCGATTTTGCCCACTTTGAGCCCCATTTTCGGCCAATTTCACTATACTAGTCGACAAAAAACATGAATATTTCGCTAGAACTCCATTTTGTCTATCGAATGGGTGCAAGAAACCACCCATTTATGAAATTCAACTATCCAGTACAGTGGTCAGAATTTAGCAATTTTGCCAATTTCACACAAATTCCAAAAGATGCCAATTTCCGAATAGGGTCCAGAATAAACAAGAAAGACATTCCTGGCACTAAAATGACATTTCCTCTAGCCATTAGTCACGTCTCAAGGCCCCTCTTATATTCTTTGGCTTTCCACTTTGAATTTTTATTCTCACAAAAAATATAAGATTTACTGTTATGCAGACTATTGCATTAGTGTAAAAAATGGTATAAATATTATTGGTGCACTTGTGAAAGAATATTAGACTCACCAGTTGACGTGTATTGCACGCTTGGCACGATTTGTTTACTTTTGAAGTTTGGTAAAAATCGAACATTTCTGCTACTTTGAGCTCAATTTTAAGGCACCTTTCATTGTAAAACCAGTCAAAATCATCTCAATTTCTGTAATATGTCTTCCATTCTATAAAATGAGACCAGGAAAACTAGAATACAACAATAAATACCATACGAAAATACACTGCAAAGTCGCTGATTTATTAAAAAAAAATGGTCAAAGTTTTTTTTTTCTCATTATGCACTGTGTGCTGCAGGATTTTTTTTAGACTGTGCACACTGACCACATAGACCCATTCTTTCATATGAAGGCCTACCAGCTTTCTCCCACTAGATTTGAGGCCGCTAGAATTTATGAGTACTAGTACGTCAAAAACCCCTAAGCGTAAGACGTACTAGTACGACCAAAACCCTCAAAGGGTTAATATTGCAGTTTTATAACTGTAGTGTAAGCATGCCTCTGGCAAGACAGTGATGGAGTGAATGATGATGAAAGTTTTTCTTTTTCGGGCCACCCTGCCTTGGTGGGAGATGGCCAATGTGTTAATAATAATAAAAAAAATGTGCAGTAAGTTTAACTTCAACAATCATAGAGTTGACTGAGACAAAACTAATGAAGAACTATCAGATATATCCTGGGAAACAGTCATAAGCACCCTAAGTCCTCATCAGTGCCTGGAGAAGCTGAATAATGAAACATATAAGATCTGTATTTAATATGTACCATTGAAGAAACATAGAAGATCAGATATAGAAAGAGAGTGTAGGAGATGGTTAAAAGAAGAAAAAGATTTACTGAATTGCTTAACCCTTTCAATGTCAGCCCCACAATATTACAGCTTGCAAGGCAGTGTCAGTTCAGTAATACTATGCCAAAATTCTAGCAGCTTCAGATATGGTGCGAGAAAGCTGGTAAGCCTACATGTGAGAAAATGGGCCTGTGTGCTCAGTGTGCTCAGTATGAAAAAAATCTGGGAGGCCGCATTGCATTGTGGGAGTACCAATTCAGTATGCCTTGTTCACTATGTCTAGCAGTAAGGAATACCTACTCCCTGGCAAATTTGGGACTCTTCTCTTCCCAAGTGATTGCTCTAACACAGTGTCAGTGAAGACGAATTTCATGGTTCTGAGGAGTTTGTGACTGAAAGCAATGCCCAGGATACCAGATACTGATAGTGAAAAGGGAAGACAGCGTGGGTGGTGGGGAAGGCAGCGTGAGTGGTGGGGGAGGCAGAATGGATGGTGGGGAAGACAGCATGGGTGGTTGGGAACATGGCATGTAAGTTTATTCAAGTATACACAAATACAGTTACATAGATTAACATACACAGCAGCATGTGTAACGAACCTAGGATAACCCAAAAAAGTAAAAGTGACTTATTTCCAGCATGGGTGGTGGGGAAGACAGTGTGGGTGTGGGGAAGGCAGTATGGGTAGTGGGGAAGGCAGTGTGGGTTTGTGTAAACAAGTTTTGTAAACAATATAATGATAACAATATTTGTGCGGTTACTGTGTTGCATACAACGAGTGGATATATGTACATTATGCATTATATTGGTCTCACAGGCCACAAAAGTTACTTGAAAAAATATATTAGAAAAGAAAAGAAAAAATAGAATAAAAGTAAAAATAATATTACAGTGACAGGCGCTGATGTTGCCATAAGCAGTTCACTTTCTGTCAACTTCATGCCTCTATTGGGCATGTTTCTTTCCACCTGTTGTCTATGTTTCCCATCAGTAAAATGGGTACCTGGGTGTCAGTCGACTGGTGTGGGTCGCATCCTGGGACACTGACCTATTTGCCCGACATGCTGAGCATAACAAGGGGCTTTCTATATAGTAGTATGTCATTGTTATCAGCTAGGCCTGTATACCATGTACATGTACTTGTAGTAAATAAAGATATTATTATATCTCGGTAACTACTGATCACAAATTTTTTTTCTTTTATAACACTCAGAAAATTATTCTTGGATAGAATTTTTTTTTTTTTTTTTAATAGTTTTTGACACTGAGAGCAGGGTTCTTGATAGTGAAAGGGTTAAAAAACATGAATATGTCAAAACAAATTTTTTGTACTAAACAAAAAAAAAACCCAAAGGGAAGAAAAGGCCATTCGGGATATCGCAACCCCACATATATCTATTCATATTTAAAAGAGGGGCTCACATACTGACGATGAACATTAAGTGAGCAACCCATTAAATGACAGCAGGGTGGAGAATGCAGAAACCTTTTTCACTCCACAGGAAGGCTGCACAGACCAACTACCTAACGAGTACTAATCTCATAGAATCTGAAAAAGAAACTGGACAAGATTCCATGGAATCTGGTCCACAGCCAGGCTCTGGGTGTAGAAAAACTCTCAGAACTCATCAAACATCCCTGTACTAGGTGAACAGCTTCTGTATATAAGACACCTACTACTTTATGACTGAAATATCATGAGAGTGACCAATCAATCAATACATTCCATATGACCACAGTGAATGCTAATAAATTACTAAGCACTTTCATACATGAGCAAAAATTTTAATACAAATATGTACACTTACGAGCATCACAATTGGGATAGGTGTTCTTTACTCCTTTGTTGTCAGGACAAGCACATTTATAACCTCCAGGAATAATAAGACACAGATGGCTGCATGGAGTGTCTCTCTGACATATACTAATCATGCTTGTATTGTATCTCTTGTCTGCAAAAACTGAAAATAGATAAATAAATTTATAAATGTATATTTTTTTATACACCGGCTGTCACCTATTGATGCAGAGCGACCTAAAAAAAAAATCTATATATACACACACATTCATACAGTAGACCGTCGTTTAACATGGTAGGTATGTTCCTGAATACTCTGTGTTAGACAAAACCGTGTTAGACAAACTGAAGAACTTATGTGAAAAATAGGGTTATGCTCCTGGGAGCCCCCAAAAAGCCAAACAACTTTTTTTTAGATCAACAGATCTTACAAAATAAAAGTGAATATGTAATTGTAGTGCATTGTCATGATACATTACTACTTAAAACTACAAATGCAATAGAAATAATAGTACTTCTTACCTTAAATTGTGGGTAATGGTGTTTGTGGATGATTGTGAAGAGATGGTGTGGCCCTACTGGTCTGAGGCAGATGGTTGTTGGTTGTAGGCAGAAGTGGATGGTAGAGGTTCTGGTGCTGAAGTCGATGGTTGTATTGGAGTGTGCATAAATTCTGTAATGGATCTCTGGGCTCTTTTACCCTGCAGCACATTATGCAGCTGTGCAAGAATGGTATATAATACCGACAAGATGAAATTAAGACACTTGTGCAACATCTGGGTATCTTTATTGTAGACGTTTCACCATCCAGTGACTTTATCAATACAAATTCTAGGACATAGCTTGAAGACAGTAGGACTATATACAGAAGATGAGGTAATCAGTCCCTAAGCCTTGGAGTAGGTGCGAAGAGCACGACTATGGTGCTCTTCGCACCTACTCCAAGGCTTAGGGACTGATTACCTCATCTTCTGTATATAGTCCTACTGTCTTCAAGCTATGTCCTAGAATTTGTATTGATAAAGCCACTGGATGGCGAAACGTCTACAATAAAGATACCCAGATGTTGCACAAGTGTCTTAATTTCACATTATACAGCTGACGGTAAGGCATCATCAGCTGGTCTAGACCCAGTTTCAAAGTACTGCTTCCAGATTTGTCAGGGTCCTCTTCAGCAAAAAAGTCTGCAACTTTACCAATAACATGGAACTGCTAGCATAACTTCTGTAATGTTAACTGTTTTTCTTCAGGCTCTTCTTCACCTTCTTCTGTTATCTCCCTCCCTTGTATCTGTGCATCAAGCTCTGCCAACATTTCCTCTGGACTCGTGTCTTCATCATTATCTTCTAAGAGCTCAATCATATCTTTTTCATTCATATCTTCAAAACCACCACCTGGTAATCTCCTTGCCAGTTGAACATTTTCCTGAACCTGACTCTCAAGCAAGGCCATAATTTTCCCCAGCCTGCATTTAATGTTGACTGGGGCACTTCATTCCATGCACTTCTAGCATAGCTGATGGCATCTGCAATGTTAAATTTATTCCAGAAGCTTGGTACTGCCAGGTTGGAGTCAGAGTCCATTGATGCAACTAGTTTTTTCATAACTTTTTTTGTGTAGTTACACTTGAATGACTTAACTCCTCAATCCAGTGATTGTATTAGAGATGTTGTATTTGGAGGTAAAAATACAACTTTTACATGTGGGGTCACATCCAGCAAAGCTTGTGGATGAGTAGGGAAATTATCAAGAATGAAGAGAGCCTTGAATGCAAGGTTCTTGCTGTGACGGTAAAACTTGACTTCAGGAATAAAGTGATGCTTAAACCAGTCAATAAATATTTCCTCTGTCATCCATGCTGACTGGTTTGACCTCCAAATTACTGGTAAGGTGTTTTTATCTACACCTTTCAAAGCACGAGGATTTTTAGAGTGGTAAATAACCATGGGCTTACACCTGAAATCACCTGATGCACTTTCCTCTTGCTGACTGATATAAGTTCATGTTGGCATTTTTTTCCAAAAAACACTTGTCTCGTCAGCATTAAACACTTGATGTGGCTCACAGCCACCCTCAGAAATAAATTCCTGCAATTCAGCAGGGAAATTACTTGCTGCTGTATGATCAGCTGAAGCACTTTCATAACTAAACTCAATATTATGTAACTTATTATGCAACTTAAAGTTGTGGAACCAGCGTGCTAAACACACTCTTTTTCAGGCCTTCCTTCCTTATCACATGCTGCTTTAAACAACTGTATGGCCTTTTCTCTAATTAAGAGGAAATTAAATGGTGTACCTTCCTTTGTCTTTTGTTCAATCCACTCAGGCAACAAGTTTTCAGTTTTATTTACTTGCTGTGATCTGTGTGTCATTCTTTTCATGAGGTGACATCTTGGGTTATTCATTGCAAAAGCTCGTATACGTATTCGCCTCATTCTTTTTAATTGTATGAACTGACACTTCATTAAGGCCATAGGCCCTCACTACATCCACCACACGTGAGTCACT